ACCAGGGAAATTGTTGTTAGAGTGTTAGTATCTGTTGTAATTAGTGTGGCTCGAACTGAAGATGGTGCATATCCACCGGCTGCCCATATGGGCAGCAGTGGCCGTTAGGCCACATCATTGGAATGCATTTTGATCCATTTTTAGTTGGCCAAATCATGTAAATGGTACCCTTGTTCACTTGTCACAGAGTAGGCATGGAAGTCCCGACACTCCCAATTCAAAATATTCTGTGATTGGACTCATGGGTTAAGGCTTTGTTTGTCGTAACTTCTCACGTGCATTTTTTTATATGGCACCTTATATAAAAATATAAGTTTTTAGTTTTTAATTAATTCTAATTAATTTTTTTTATGTTTTTATTAGTTTTAATTAATATTTTATATATTTTAAGTAATTAAAAGGAAAAAAAAAAAACCATACTACTACAGCTTAACATAAAATCACCGAACTAAGGGCCTATTCGGTAGAATTTCTTGAAACTTTTAACTTTTTAGTATTGTTTATGAGTCATAAGTTTAAATTTTTATTAGAGAAAAAAATTTAAAAGTTGCTTTTAGAAAATAGTAAAAAAGAAGTTTATAAAAAGCAAAAATTTGAAACTTTTCAAAATTTACTGTTTAAGATCTTTTAAGATAAAAAAAATAAAAATGTAAGTTTTTAAGAGAAAAATTAAAATTTATGAAACATGAATAGTGTAAAAAAATTGAAACATTTACAAGTTTCACCAAATATACTCTAAGTCTAATAGCATGTGTGGGTTAAAGGTAGGGAAGGGAGGGGAATTTTTTCCCCCCATTCCTCTCCATTCCCCTTATTTGAATAAGTTAACAAATTAAGAGAAAAAATAAAAGAAAAATTTTCCCTCCCCGCTCCTCTAATTTTTTTTCGTTGATAATCAAATAAAAAAATTTTACTCTTTATTCTCCCTTATTGTCTCCAACTCAAATATGAAGTATGTGTTGATGTTAGTCTAGTCCATTAAAATGATGGATGTAAGCTTGGCCCGTTAGCTGTTTCGGTTCATTAAAAGCCTATATTTAGTCCAGTCCATTAGAGCATAATGTTAGATCGATCCAAACCCATTTGCAAAAGAGAATGAACGCAGTAAAAATGCCCAGCCAAACCCTCCAAAGAACCGAAGAACTCAATTAGCAGCAGCCATTTGCCATAAACAAAACACAGTATTCTTAGGAAAACAAATAGAGAAAGGATCTCACATTTTCACCACAGCCATCGGAGACCGGAGCATTAGCGTCTCCGCCGTCCATTGCGGTGAATATTTCTCTCCGGCAGGGAAGTTGGCTTTCGTCTCGCTTTCTATTCCTCAGGTAGACGACGGAGAACTCATCGCCGATTTTAACCGGATTTGAGATCGAAGAGTACGGGTTTCCATCTGCCGGGATTTGTATTGCTAATTAGATGCGAAGTATATTCGTGAAGAAGCCCAAAATTACCGATGTGGATCGAGCAATTCTCTCTCTCAAAACTCAAAGGCGGAAGCTTGGGCAATATCAGCAGCAGGTCTTTCCTTCCTTCCCTACCTTTTCCTTCATATTTCCTTTTTTTTTTTTTTGGCGGAGTGCATAATTTTTGCTTTAATTTCTTTTTTTTTTGGTTGCATGCTGTGAGAAATTTAAAAAAAAAAACTGAATTCGCTTTAATGGATCAGTTTAAATTCGTATGAACAAGTAATTTTCGTTTTGTATATAAATTCTGTTTGTCTTCTGCTCTTTTCAGCTTGAAACTGTGATAGAAGCAGAAAAGCAAGCGGCAAGGGACTTGATTCGTGAAAAGAGAAAGGATAGAGCTTTATTAGCATTGTAGAAGAAAGTTGACACATGGCTCATCAACGTTGAGCAACAAGTAAATTATTGTGCCCATATGTGCAAATGTGCATTATTTATAGATTGTTTCAATCTTGCTTTTTGTGATGGTTTTGTGACAACAGGTGGATGGTGTACCCGATATCGCTCGGCATTGGTTTAATTTTATCCTCTCTTTCTTATTCGTATCGGTGGCACGAATGTTTGTTGCAATTCATCTTTTAATTTGGTTTCAACTTGGGTTTGGAAAGAGAAATGAATTGAATCCAGTGTATCACTGGTCACTTCTGAGAACAACAAATTAAGTGAAATGATAACGAAATGCAGAGGAGGAGAAGAGCTCTATCTCAGGAGGAGCATAGAAAGCAATTTGAGAACTCTTCTTTCTCTTGGAACAGAACTTGGGCTTCATTGGTGCCAGTGGACGTGACATCTCTGGTATTTTAAACTTTTGACCTTTTGCTGTCGAACAGCCGCCAGCCACCGAACTATCTTCACCTGCATTGTTTTCCTTGAGTTTGCTACTGCCATTGCCACGATTAGGTAACCCCCTTGCTGATTCCTCCTCTGTTTCTGGCGGCTTGAAGTTTCAAAGAGTGAAAAAATGTTGACACTTTTTTCTTCTGAATGTTAGTAGAGGGAGGCCAAATATGGCAGTATCAAAACCTAAGACCTAGTTAGGATTTTGTTCAAAAATGGCAACTTGAAAGATTTTTCTGCTGTACTTCACCAAAAACCCCACAGCAGGATTAACTACTACCACTTCTAAATAATTTTACCTATTTTTATATATTCTATAACCCTACCAAATCTTTGATAAGATCAAAGTAGAAAATTCTTGGAAAAGTTTCGTTCTCTATTTGTAAGAATTTGAAAGAATAAAAAATAAAAATTGCACACCTTACATTATTAGATGGGGGTCTCTAATATTAAGGATTAGTTCAATCTAATAATTTTAGTTTTGTAATTTAAGCAATTCAAATTGTAATATAAGGCTTTTTTTTTTAAGATTTTTATAAGAATATGGTTTAGTTTAGTTGATTTGACTAATTCAATTTCAACCACTTTAAAATAGGAATGCAAAAATTGACAACGTACATATTTAAAACAAATCATGGTAATAATTTTCATCTTATTACATATTTTAACTTGAATTACCTAACGAACAAATTAAATAAGTCAGGTGCCAACTGAGGCTTTACCTAGAAACATTTTTCATGGTTTAGCTTTTGATTTTTTTATATCTTTTAACTACCTTAAAAATATGTAATATATTATAAATATTAATATATTTTATATATTTTTAAAATAAAGAAGAAGATGAACCTACAATTACATCCCAACTTTCTTAAATGAAACCTCAATTTAGCTTACCCATTTCAAAAAAAAAAAAAAAAAAAAAAACTTAAGAATCCATTTAACCCAGCTTATTTTAGCTCTTATGTAACTTTTTTGAACTCGAGCAATTGCGGCGGAATGGCGAGGGCATTACAAAGTGTGACCCATGGGGAACGACACCTAGTGCTAATTTATGGAGTGAAGTGGCCTTTGGCACTTTCTCTGCCATGTGGCTGGCTAGCTCATATGTGACTTGCAAAAGAAACGGTCTAAACCCAACCAAACCAAACTCTTGTTTTTTATGTTGATCACGCAACAATCCAATTTCCTTCTGTCTTCGACTTTCTTAGATTACAATTTTCAAACTCTAATCCCACATTTTGCTTCACAGCTACTCGAGACTATAGTCTTAACATTGCATCGAATTATGCAGTGAATATTTTCCCCTGGCATACAAGTAGTAATTTTGCTTTCTATTATTTCTGTGCAAACAGAGAACTACCTCTGAGGCCGTCTAATGCAAGACAATAATCCTTCTCAAATTCTTTCCCATCTATCTTAAAATTTGAATTTAAGTTCTTTGAGATGAAAATTTTAATTCTTAACCATTGAATAATCTTAGGGACAGACTATTGCATTAAGAGGCTTTGATTTGATAGTTGCGGAATTGCTGGAGGAGGAAGGGTGACGAGCAGTTAAAGATCAATCTAGGATTTTTGTCGAATGTGTTTCTTTTGTTTTAACCCAACCACGTAAGTAGACTGTAGACCCAAGAAAGGATTCATGTGTTTTTGTAAGGAGCCAAATTTGTGATTTTTTTTAAAGTCAATTTCTAAAATTCTTGTATTGTGTTTTTTATTAACTGAAAATATTTTTAATTGATTGATTTTCTTAGTGGTTGTTAAATACAAAAAATATAAAAAATAATTTTTTAAAACTACTTTACTATTGATCGTTATCTCAATACATACCAAAGTTGTATCTTCTTTTACTCTACGAACAAATTGTTTTCCTGATGATAATTGACTGAATAGTTTCAACATGATTCACCCTCTTTTCATTTTATTTGACCTTTCGGGTCCACACAAACATATCCATTTCTGTCTTCGAATTTCATATCACATTTGATTTATTTTTTTATTTTTGTTTAATTCTGTTGAGGTGGCTGGAGGAAATAAAAGTTATTATGGCGGAATCCACAGATACATTGATTGCTGTAAACATCCTTACAAATTGACTTCAAAGGGATACATTTTACCAAAAAAAGACTACAAAGGAATACAACCAATGCAAACTTTTATTAGAATACATAACATGACATGACATCACAATTTAAACAGGGAAACAATTTTGTGTGAGCAGCTAGCTTCACTTATTGCAAACCATGGAATGACGAACATAACCACGAAGAGATGTGCTGAGCATAACTTTCAATTTTGATATCCCAAAATGCCTCTGCCTCTGACTCCACCATGTAGAGAGAAGAGCTTTTCCATGCTTATTTAAATTGATAAGAAAGAACTGCATAAACAGTTTGAAGTGCAGTAAATAGAAGCAAGAAAACCGCTGCAAAAAAGGAAATGGCCGCCCACGGAGTGTTAAAGTAATTGTGCCATAAATTTGCCTTCCACTGGTTCCACTTTCTGTCACAATGCTCATTCACTTTCCTGAAGGTCTCAGCATAAGAGAAGTCCTCTTCGGAGATCAACACACAATCACGGAGTTTGTTAAATATGGCAGCGACCACTTCATGATCACCCAACCAGTTGTCAATTACTCCACGGAGACAAAGTAATTCAACATCCTTCCCTGTGTTGATGAGGCAATCCATGAATGTAATATAATCCGTGAAGCATTTTGAAGATGTGCCCTTGAAGCATTGTTCATAAGCAACTAAATTTCGAAGAATGGACTCTGTATCATCGTTGATACTTAGAGTTGGAATTAACATTACCCCCTCTTGAAATTTTATATCAAACAATCTCCCCTTGATTTTTTTAAAATTTATTCCTGCCTCGCTGAGCTCTGTTGCTGAACGTATGAATCGCCATTCCTTCCTATTAGGGTCAGAAGCAGGCTTGCTATCAAGTTCTGGTTTGGGTGGCGGAGACCTTACCAATGGTAATTGGCCGAGTTCTGCTGGTTCATCCATTTCCTCTAGATAGAAGGAATGACTTGACTCAGAGGGCGGAAAGCTTACCAATGGTAATGCGCTGATTCCTACTGGTTTATCCATTTCCTCTAGATAGGAGGGATCACTTGAGTCAAAGGGCGAAGATAATACTCCCTTCAATGAGTTGGATGCCGAAACACCTACCGACGGTGCTGCCGTTGATACAATTTCCTCTAACGTCTTGGATAGCGATGAACTGGGGATTGTCATTGCCTTTGGTGGCAGAAACCTTGGTTCCTCTGGTGACTTGGGTTGCAAAAAATTTATTAACGGTGCTGCTGCTGCTCTAAAGGGGAGATTATCTGAGTCAGAGTTTGGAGAGTTTACTTCCTCTGATGATTTGGTTGGCGAAGAACATACTAACGGTGCTGCCATTGATGGTGGTGGCATTTGCGTTATTTGCTCTTTCCTGTTCTCTGCTGACTCGCATTCCTCATCTTCCTCTGCTGACTTGGATGGTGATGATAAACAGGGGATAGCCATCGCCTTAAGCCTTGCCTCAGGGCATAGTGACCTTATAACTTTCTCTGGTAAGCAAGAAATACGCACCTCCGGAAAATCAGGTGAAGGAGCCTGGGAGCTATCATGAACTAAGCCCAGTAGATGCTTGATATCTTGATTCTCGGGTCTTCTGAGAGATCCTGGCATCACTCTAGAGAAGAATTCAATAGCTATACCCATGAAGTCCTTTGCTTCATCATTTGGCATCACAGTCAAGTTAAACAACTCTGAAAGTATAAAGAAAGGAAGTTGATTTTCAACTAGCAACAGATCACACATTGCTCTTCTCAAAATAAAATGTGTAAGAAGGTGGTCGTTTTGGTCTCTCTGTTCTTTCATGGCACTCTTTCGAATAAGCTCAATGATAAAGCATCCGTCAAGGAGCATAATTTCTACAAATTTTTCTCCACCAATGTGATTCAAAGGTTCTGAATAAAATTCGCGAGCTTTTTCTTCCATGCTTTTCAAGGCCGTCACATATCTCTCCAAACTTCTTTCTGTTCTTCGCCTAAGTAGCATTTTTAGATAAAACATTTTGTACACCTCCATTTTCTTCAACTGACCTTTACCATGGTGGTAAGGGCCAATGGAGATCACTTGAGGTTCATACGCCTGTTCACTTATCCGGCGCAAATGAATAGGCACTTTGAAAATGCTACGGCTTAACCAGTCCGTTGAAACATCACCTTTGAGCTTTCGAAGTAGTCGAGTGTGAAGAGGAGGTCCGACTGTTCCACTTGCCATCACCTGCTCAACATAAAAATTCAAATGATTGGGAGTGGGAGAATGAGAAACAGATTCGCATTTTAAGTTAAATAAATATATCCAAAGCCTAAGAACATTAAGGCAGCTCCATTAATCTTTTAAAGGTTTAAATCAATGGACTACTATTAAATTTTGTTCCTTAACATCCTTGTACTAGAAAAAAATGGCCATTGGAGTCCTTAACGGGAGTGTTTGGAGTGAAGGAAAGTTATTTTTTTCCTTCACTCAAAAAATTTTATGGGCATTATAGTATTTTTACACCTCAATATATAACAAATAAAGAGCAAAGTTGACATTTTATGTTTTTACTTTTCCAAACATAGTTCCTAATAAGGAAATACATTCCCCCAAATTCTCAATGTAGGACCCGCTTCACCTTTTTCTCCCAACTTTCCTAAATGACTAAATATCACCTTACTTTAATTTCAACAAAATAACTTCCTATACATTAATTTTTAACTTTTCGAACAAGACTTTCCCATCCAATTTTCTAATCTAGGTTCTAATCTAGGAACAAACTAAGTTCCACGGCTGGTTTTTACATAAGCCATGCTTCGAGTTCTACTTAAGGATCATCCTCTAAAGGACTCTGACTCAGTAAGCTTAAGTGCAACATACTGGACTTTCCAAACACTTCTAAAAAAATCCTGGAGTAATCTAGAAAATTATCCTTTCTATTGATAAATTGATAGTTTACCTGAAATCTATCGACACAAAAATAAATAAATAATAAAGAAAAGTAGTAATTCTCCGTTGGAAAACATCAGATCCTCTTCCTTGGTTCCATGTAAAATAGAAAATAAATAAATAAATAAATAACATGTAATGAACAAGAAAAATGATAGATACATTTTTTACTTCAACTAGAGGCATAGCCAAAAATTTATGTAAGGGGGGCAAAATTTGAAGTCACTAGTTATTATATAAAATTGTGGAGTTTCAGTATAAATTAGTAATGTTATTCTCAATTGAGTTAAAATTACTATTATACCCTCTTAATTATAAGCCTTTTTTAATGATATTTTCATATTTCTAATTCTCACCTAGAAATGATTAAAAGCACATGCCAAAATAGTAATTAAAAATATAATCCAAACAACAATTGTTCAAATAAAAAATAATTAAAGTAACAATATATAAATTATCATTTAATTAATCTTTATTTTTCTTATTTTTTATATTTCTCATCTTTCTCAACACCATAAAGTAGTATATGATGAATAAAGAGATAAGAAAATAATTGATATGAAATAAAATATTTAAGAAAAAATGATATAAAAATAAAAGTTAAGTATTAAAAATTAAAAGAAGTTGAGGATCAAAATAAATTTAAGCGAAAAATAAAATATTAACATATTAACTTTTCAAAAGTTTTGGGGCCTGTGCCCCTCCAAGACCCTCTTAGCTTTGCCTATGAGTTTAACACATCCATTAATACTCATTGGTTTACTTGTTAAAATTTGTAATTTTAAGTTTTCTTCCCCTCTAATTCAACTTTAAAAATAATAATTTATTAATGAATATGTTGTAAAATGTATTAAATTTGATGGCGTCTAAATTAGTGTCTAACTAACAAATGAATTCTATTGGGGAAAAAGGAAAAATTAAAGCAGTGCTTCAAATTTGCAAATCTAACCTGCTTACATGCATTAGAAAAAAAAATCAAATATTATTTCTGTTCTACAAATCATATAACAGGAAACAAACAGAAACTTCAACAATTTTTGAGCTCAAAAAACCAAATTTAGATTCCAAACAAGTTCAAATAAAGCAAAAATTCAAGCAAGCATGCGAGAGTTATTACTGAAACAGATTGAAAGAAAAGAATTAAAACAATAAATTCTTTGAGGAAATCTTGTTGGAAATTTTGGGTACCACAATCACACGCTAATGTAAGTAATAAAGAAATTAAAACAACAATTTAATATGGTTCGATATGTATACCTCTTGACAAGTTTACGTTCACAGAAAAGAGAAATGAATCTACTATTAAGAAAAGAGTACAATAATTTAAAAATTTTCTCATTTAAGAAACTCTCAACACTCTAGCTTCAATATATAGAAACTCTCAAATTCTCCCTAATAGTCTCTCTTAATCTACACAAGGATTCTCTCATAATTTCTCTCTTTCTTTTTTCTCACAAGAGTACCCACTTGCTTAGCTCTTCTTTTGCTTGCTCTCACCCTTGCTTGCCCATTGCCTTTGCATGCATGGGTATTTATAGTGAAAAATTCCAACCACCCAAGCAAGTTTTTTTTTGCCTCATTACCACCTCTCCATGATTTTCTTTGCTCATTAAAGGGGGTCAACAAGCAATTTTGCATGATTTCGACAAAGTAAATGTTAGCCCACAATTAGTTAGGTTGGTGAAGAAATTTTAACACATGGAAAGTCCATGTGTTCACATGGGGTTGGACTTTCTACCAATAAATCAAACTTACTGCATGCTCTTGATTTGCAGTAGAGGAAATGAAATTGAAATTTGGAAAATTTATGTCTGCTCCACGGGAGATGCTGCTTCTATCTGTAGCAATAAGGGAGAAGAAGGAGAACTATTTTTCTATGATTTACATTTGAAGGAATTTTTTCGGTTTATATAGAAGTCTCGGAGAACACTACCAAAAAAAAAAAGGGTTATTTGCCAGCTCTAAACATCCTGCAAAATAAGTAAAAAGCACTGGAAATACATCATTTTTCAGTGCATAATGCTCCAAATTGTCACGCAAAAAAAAAAAAAAAAAAACGCTTGGAAAATAGTTAGTTTCAAGTGCTACTTGGTGCGCTCGAAAATGATTTACAATATTTTACAGTATACTATGCTAGAAAATATACATAAATAGCAGCACGATAACATGGTATTATTCTCCGTTAACCATTTTTGTCCAGTGCATTGTGCTGGAAAAGTGATATTGACGGTAACCTTTATCAGCTGGGAAACTTTCAATGCTAGAAGCTGTCAAAAAATAGACCATTTGGAAGATGATATTGTCCG